GCGATCAATGATGCATCGAAAAGCTGAACGAATATTTGAAGTAATCTCTCTCGCGCGCGAGACGTTTCAATTATCCATTTGGCAGATTGCGACTGTCCGGTTGCTGGGTCATACCAGGGAAATTGATAGGGTTCGTATGCAAATACATCATCTTCGTAAAGTGCACTCGTTCGGATACCGTTTCGCCAATGATAATGGTCTTGCTGTATTCTTTCTGCTATTCCTTTCTCGGATAAAATCGAATAGGATTTTTCACAATGTATATATTTGATGTTCGAGTTATTGCGAATAAAACAGAAATATATCCGCAATCTTCCTTGCGAATAGCACGATATCACTGTGTTAGTGTCTGTTCACATTTCACGAGATCACTCGAAAGAGATCGAGACAGGTGATGGATTCCATTCGAAGACTCTATTGCCATTCCATTTTGACGATGAATGATTTCCGCCATTATTTTTATCGAAACAAATGAGCCAGATGGCATCTTAATGATGGTTTCGAAGATTAGAGTCTGATAACTTAAGACAGAATAAAAATGGAAGCATTTTATTAGTCTTGTGGATATGTGTATTCAATGCCGATTGTATTTTTATATTTTAGATTATATCTTTATATTTTTAAATTTTGCATACATGAATTTTAAAATATATTTTAATGCCTTTAATATGTATTCAATTATTAATTGGATCTTACAATTAAATGAAATTTTGATATTAGAGAAATTGAAGAATTTATTATTCTTACGATAATATCACAGATTGATATTTCCTTGATGATCTGAAGTTGCTTTTTAATAAATGCTATTCTCTGTTTAAATTATATATGCAGAGTTGTGATAGGTCACATGATATTATATATATTTTGTTACAATATTTTTAATCAATTATTTATTTTAATAATTGGTCAAATTGTGAAAGAAGATACGGTTGTTTACGAAGTCATAGTTTATTTACAATAATTGCATTATTCAATGAAATATGAGCTTTTGTTTTGATTATTGAAGTTGAATAGAGATCTCTCCATCATATATGTATACATATCTATATCATAAATGTTTCAATTTACCGCACAATCAAAGCTTTTTCCGTTAAAATCTGTCCAATGCATACAAAATATATTTTATTCAACTCGCTTCATTTTATCTGAATTAAAAACTCACTTAAATCACTTTTGTGTAACGTATCTCTCATATTTTTAGTTATGCAAGTATCAAACTGTGGTATGATATGCTGTAATATTGATTGAGTGACTGATTTTTTATTTAAAGATATAAAATATGACATTTTTGTGTCATATTACAAATAATATGATTGATTCTATTGTTTTCATTTATATAATAACAATATTGATTTATATTGTCAATTGACAGAAAATAAACTTAGAGAGTCTGAAATAAATTTAATCTGGGAAAGAGACAAAAAAATATATCAATGTTTTGAAATTAAATTGATATAATTGCTAAGTAGTAGTATAATATGTAGTTGTAAGTAAAAAATTTACTCATTTATATATATATATATATATATATATATATATATATATAATATGTATAGAATATGTATATTTTTAAGTCAGAAAGGCGTCAATCAAATTCTAATTTAGATAACAATTAACATTTAATTGATTTAATTGACAATGCAATTATGTTTGATTTCCGAAGATATGGGCTATGAGGGTAAACCGTATTACAATCTGATTTATTCGAGACCGAGGTAGGCCATTGTTCTGATGATGCAGTGCAGAGTCATATGGAGAAATGCCGTTGCAGCTTCGAATTATGTGGCGATTTCATGCTGGTCGAAGATATGTCGGCCTGGTTGATCGAGATTAACATTAATCCTCATATACATTTGCGTAGCTTAGGGTAACGAAATATCTTTACTCCAACGTGTTGGAGAGTTTGTTGAGAGGTGAGTAGAGGAAATGCAATCCGGATATTAAAGCTGTCAAGTATCGTGTTTAAAAGAAAATTCTTCCGTGATGACGAATAAAAGGATGAACATAGAAGAGAACGAGCGGAAATGGTGGTCTGCTATCGACGCTTCATCCCGCATCAGCTTCAGAAATCGCGAGTATCGACAACCGCAGTTCTACGATTAGACAAGTTACGCCTCGTTCCAACGACCGAGACAACTCTCTCTCTCTCTGTCTCTCTCTTGCTCTCTCTCAGCTCGCCAGGGTGATAACGGTGGCCATAATTCGCGGCGACGTAACGCCGATAAGCGCCACGTGCCCTACATGATGGATTTACGCGAGGAATTAACCGCGTTAGCGAGATTTCCCGGGCGCAATTATCGAGCTTGAAATGGTCAAACACCTGATTGTGTCGATTATATCTTTTATGTACTTCAATTGTACATTCTCGAGTAATAAAGATTCAAGCGAGATAATACACTGAACTAAAATAATTTTTTGCATTAAATAAAATTTTTACAGTTTTTAATCATTTTCTAGGAGGAAATACTTCATAAAACAATATATATATATATATATATATATATATATATATATTTATATATGTTAAAAAATTACTTCTAAAAAATTATTGATAAATTATTGAAAAAGATTTATCTTATCTAATGCCTTATATAAAATCTTTTATATAATGAATGACATCAATGCCTTGTGGTTTTTTTTTTGCCTAAGTTATACTATTCTTATTTAGACTTTTATATAATGGTTTATCTTATTTAAATTTGTTTTATTTAATCCATAAAAATTATATATAAAACCATTTAAATTTATTTTATTTAATCCACAAAAATTATATACAAAACCATTAAGGCCATACATATAAAGAATTGTGTAAAATTATAAAAATATATCAAATATTTATCAAATATAATATATATGCTATCGCGAAAAAGGCAAAGCAAATTTATCTATAGAATATATCAGCTTTTGTAACATTTTGTAAAATTAAAAAGAATAATATGTGCAGATATTAAATTATTAGATAATATTAAATAAAAATATTGGACTTGTATAAAAATTGAATAGCTTTTGTATGATGATCAATAAATTTAAATAGAGCTTTATATGAATTATGGCATTTCATAATAAGCTCCTCCAAATTCCTGAATATTCCAGTCTGCAGGCTAAAGATAATTCTGCTCTCCCGATTCTTTATCCTTTCATATGGATGGCTTTTTATTATTGAATTCTATATTCTACCCTTCTTTCCTAGAAAAATTTTAATGATTTTTTTTGTTAAATAATAAAATCACTTTTGATCTCTCTTTTAATTCATATTCAAATATTTAACTTTATGAATTTCTATCGAGTATAATCATATCAAGAGAGTAAAAAATATTATATATTTATAAATGAATCGTTATGTTAATTCTTATAATAATATATATCGAAAAAAATTGGTAAGATTAAATTGATTTCTTAATAATTAAAAAAATAGAAATATATACATATCTTTACTTTAAAAAATGTTGCATACAAATTAATTTTAGGATCCAAGAAAAATTTATAAAACTTTTTGTGCTTATAAATTAAATTTATATATCTATTTATATATTTATTAAAAAATTTGTTAATGCAACGATGATAATATTAAGATATAACCATTATTGAAAATAAAAATATAATGAAACATATATGAATTATTCTCATCTTTTTTGTTTGATACAAAAGTGATTTTATTTAATGTACATTTAAAGTGATATAAAAAAGATTTGACAAGAGACATAAGATAGTGCACGATTCTCCTAATTTGTTAATCTATTTTCTGCAAACTCCATCACAAATCCAGTTAAGAGCGATTTCGTAGCGCGGTGAAAACTCTTCGATCCCTTTGGCGATGCTTTCAGTGATAATGGACGTACCGGTGGATGTTTGTGCCGACAAGCGGGTAGTTTTAGTCTGGTCTACAAGTAGAACATACCCGACTTTCAACCTTATCTCGATTCTTACCTTTCCGTGGCCGGCAAAGTCGACGACACTGTACGAGCGACGTGATCTGCCGAGGTCGAAGACGGGGAAAGAAAAGAGGGCAAACATTTGCGGTCCCTAGAGTAAGCGGCAAGGATCGCCCCTCCTTATATCCTATGCTCGAGAAAGGCGAACGTCGACCTTTATTGACCACTTGAATACAGCATGATGCACTGTGACCAATTGACGTGACGTCCTTTTGGTCGGCACCATGGGACCAATCCGCAAATGTCAAGAGATCCCTTCGATCTCTGAAGATGCCGAATCCAATTGTGGCAATCTTAAAGTTACTATCTCATTCAAGAGATATTGACGCATAAAGTTTTATCTTCAATACTGTTCATCTCCGTTAGTCTCGGATGAGTTTGATACTAAAATTTTAACGATCGTGTTAATATTAACATAAAATAGACATTCAAGACGGTAGATGTGAACAGACGAAAATGTACAGGAGAGTTCTGTTCCTGATTAATTGAACACGCTACTGCGCGATTGAACGCGGAATTTACGCGCCCGTATTTTTTCAAAGTAAATTTAGCGCCGCGTCGTAATTAACGAGCACGAGATAGCGCGTGTAATTAATGTTGTCATTAGCGGCAGTGTCCAGCGTTTCTTCTTTCTGCATCCCCAAGGAAAATCAGAATGGCACGAAGATGCGCTACTTGCGCTCTATTGAATATATGTACAGCGAAACTTCCTCGAAATATAATGAGGCAAACTTTTTCGCAATCTAGGCAACACTTTTGAGAAGAATTTTGCGACGTAGTACACATAATCTTGTTAACGATGATCTATGATTTTGCACCTATATTTTTTCAGGAGAAAAGCAGAAAAATCATATTTATCTGACATGTAAATATTATGATATGAAAGAAATATGAAAATTATATATATTATAAAAGAAATATTATAAAAAATATTATAAGAAATGTGAAAATTATAATTGGATATTCTAAATTAATTAATTATTCAATAAATCAGTTTCAGCAATCAATATTGCCTCGAAACAAAATTATAACGACTTGATAAATTCATATCAGTCAAGACGATCAAGATAAAGACAATCGTTTTATTGTGTGATATGTACATACAATAAATTTATTTACAAATAATACAATAAATTTTGACGTCGTAAGTTATTCGTTCTTGATGATATATGTTAACAAAATACTACGCTCTTACCAATTATTGTGCCGTGCTGATATTTGAAAACTTTTTGGTCACGGAAGTTTTTTTTCTCTTCTTTTAATGTAAATGGTAATGTTCTGTTTACCCTGCACAAATATTTATCCAAGAAACGTTAACGACGTTAAATAGGCAAATCGCGCGATTTTCGGCGATCGCGCTCCTGGTATCATCATGTGTGTCGGGGTAAGTGTGTTTCTGTACTTCTCGCCTTATAGAAATATTATATTAGCTATCACTAAAATTATAAAACAAATCGGCCGTGTCTTGCTGTACGACGAGCTTCCGTCCCCATGGTGCATCGCGGCTGGGTGTTCCTCTGCAACATAAATTTTTATCGATTCGACATGGTGATCTCGGTATCTGAGCAGTGTGAGAATCATACGATTTTGCATATTTTTATAAAATCATGACAGATAGAGGAGACAACATATGCGTGGCAAATAAAATATATACAAGGTATGTCATATATATATCAGTGCTTAGCTTTTAAATTATAGCTGCGATGAAAAGAGAAAATATGCATGAAATATAAAAAAATAAAAATTATATATCTGATTTTATTTGTACGTGTTAACACGGAATTCAAATAATCGCAAATGACTTTTGTATCAATCTTTTTATATTTTTTATTGTATAAAAGTTTATAATTACTTTATTTTTTCCTGTAGTGAAAATAGTAAATAATTAATTCATTCGATTTCATAAAAAATCAATTACAAATTCCTTGCAAGTCGAAAGTTAATAATGCATTGAATTAGTTAGTTTAAATGATTAATTCAAACAATAGTTAGTTTAACAACAGTTAGTTTAAATGATAAGTTAAGTTACATTAATCGTGCAGCATGAATTAAAATAAGCTTTATATAAATTACGTAGGTGGTTTTTGTATGTTCAAACATGTAATAAAAAATGAAACATTTGTGTATTAATAAATTTTAAAATTTTGAATATATTATATATATAGTTAAATTTTTAGCGCAAAACCAGGCAAATGTAAAAGAATGTTTTGAAAGGGATGAAATTTATCGAATTTTGAAAAAAAACATACATGGCATAACAACATGTCAGTGATGAATAATGTTGATAAGTGTGATGACAATAACATATCATTCGCTGTATGCGTATCGTTATATATCGATGGACCATCCCATCCATCAACTGTTGCTCTATGTGTAATTAATGCTTCAAGTTTATAATTAATATGCCCGTTCTTTGATTATGGTACGCCAATCATTCGTCACGCATTATGGAACAGATGAAATAATTAATGGAAAGAGATAAATAAATGGAATGAATTGTTCCGCAGTGAAATAATATTTCTAATTCTCATTTCTAGAATAAAATTAATTTTTTCGTCATAAAAATTTCTGCATAAAAAATTAAGTGATAAATTAAATCATGGGATAGAAATGCGCAATATTTAGAGACGATAAAACAATTCGCTCAATTAACTTGTAAGCTTTACGTGAAGTCGCATCGTGCGCTTGATTGCATGCGCAAGAGGCAAACTCGTAAATTCCATCCGCTTGAAAAATATATCAAGTTACAAACAAAACAAGCAAGCTCCTTCTTTCAGAATAGACGAAACAATCTGTTTTCATTTAATTTTATTTCGCTCGTAACTGGACGCGCTTGAAAATTGCGCGAGATTTCGCGCGAAAATCAGATTTTAAATCGCTTTGTCATCGCGAATCGACGCATCTCGCGGTGAGTGAATCGCGTTTGGTGAGAAAAACGAATTAAAAAAAAAGAAAAACAAGATTTCGAAATCCATCGCATTTTGCAGCTTCATGTGCGAGAGATTTATTCGCGGTGTTTTGCGTTCGAGCAATCGCTGCAGCCATCGATTTCAGGCTTAACGCGTGACTTGCCAGGTACATTCGAAGCTTGCAATATTTACAGAAAAGTCAATCAATGTTACTTCTCCGCAGCTCTTCACGCAACGGGCGCCATTTCTCTCGATTCGTTGTAATTGCAGTAAAGCCGTTTGGATCCGGAATTTTTTCCAATTTACCGAAAGCCCACAAAATGCTGGTCAGAAATTGGAAAACAAATTTTGCATCGCATGCAAAATTGAAAAAAAAATTACGAAGAAAAACAGGCTACTATAAAATATATATAAGGATTCACTGAAATATAATAATAGTTTTATAACATACAATATAATATACAAAAACAAGAATATTTTAACATAAATTGATTCGCATATCGGAACATACATGTGTATATTTTTATATATGCTGCTTATATATACCTAATATTGTGTGTGTGTTTCCGTTGCCATATCATATATTCGCAATGTACATAAACTTCAACTCACCGTTAACAACGTGCACCTTTATACTACTGGGATTTGCGTTGCTCGGTTCACATTTATAGATCCCGGAGTCGCTCGGTACGGCTTTCTGGATCATCAAACGACTCGTCGTTTCGGGTCCTTTTTCCGTAACAAGACTGATACCACCGCGCGGCGAATCGAAATTGATAACCTGGTAAAAAAATCACAAAATATTTGTATTTTTAAAATTATGAAAATATATGCTTGATGTATTTGCGATTAATTGAGAGATAAAAACGCAGTGACACAAATATGTAGGAGCTAATAACGAGGTATTAGCATTAGGGTAGATTACATCTACATATGTAATATAAATTAGTATAATATAAATAGAATTGCTCGTAGTGATAATAATATCACTCCATGTGCAATATAATTATGTGACTGAATTACTGCTAATAATGAATAAATTAAATTCGAATAGTTTACATTATATATTTAAAAATTGATATAAACAAAAATATAATTTTTTAAAAATATGGATATATAATTTTAGAAATAAATTTAGAAATAAAAGCTATGTCTCTTTTAAAACTTAATAATAAAACAATTCTGTGAATCGAAAAAAATTAAATTGATGGTCATACTTTTCCTTATGATTCACATGTCGGAAGTGAGATAGCATCTATCTGAACTTTACTACCGTAAGTTTCTGAGAATTCTGAGTTCTGAGACATTGTAGCTCCGGGCGAACTAGTAGTAACGGAAATAAGAGCTAACTCTTCTTTTGATTCGTGTCGCCTAATATTGAACATGTAGGCGCGGCGTCGTATGCGTCTCATCCGCAATCATTCTTTCAAAGAATCCGCGCCTGTTTCCTTATATTTCACTGGAATCCCCGCTCTTACCGACAACGCAATGAAGCCTCTTTGGCAAAAGATAAAAGGCACCTTCCTCCGAGGTATAGAATAGTAGGTACGTAAAGAATAGGAGGGAGCACATATATACATTTCTTATGTATTCCCTTTGAGGATAGACACGCGTAGTGGCACGCCCTGCAAAGAACGGAAAAATATCTACCGCGTTTCTCCTTTCCGTTTTTCTCTCTCTTCCTCTTTCCTGTTTTCTCCCTTTTTTTGTCTATAGAAAGTTAACTCGCTTTGTATTCCTTCATACGAGATGGTAGAATCGTTTCACTGTGTATCGTGTTACGGAATAAATGATTATCTGTGAATCGAAAACCGCGAAGGATTAATTGAAAAATAATTTCGTTCCTTGGCTGCTCCGCGCGCAAGCGATCTTCTATTTCGCGTTTTACTTTGATCAACGTGCGCGATAGTGCCTTGCGAAAATTGCGTTACCTCCTGTTTCATTCTAGTAAAAGCACGTAGAATCGGTCTAGTGTAGAGCATATCGATGGCGTACCAATATATCGGCAATCAGTCGAGAAATTATTGTTTTTCTTTTTTTATCGATTGGCTTATGAGAATTTTTAATCCGAGAGTCGCGTATACACGTACGAGCGTCTCATTAGTACGCGCAGAATCAGCTCCGTTTATCGATATCATACATGGAATTGCAAATATCGGTATTGCAAAGGGGAATTTGTAATTATCTCATCATCATGATAAAACCACGCGAACGTTACGCTGCAAAATTATTTTAACGAGTTCGTCAATATTAAAGAGTTCAGCGGCATAATGCATTCTTTGTGTACTGTGAAATGCGCGTTTATCATGTAATTTTTGTTACACAAAATGGCATTAAAAGCAAAATGCATTTCAGTATCGCGAAGAAAATATGCATCAACAAACTGTATTAATCATGTGCGTCTGTTGTCGCTAGATGCAACAAAGAACGCGAAATAAATTACGAAAAACAGAAGTGGAATTATCAAACCTCTAAAGTTAAGGTTTACGCTCTTCGAGTGTACGTCTATAAAAATCTTAAGATTAATGTTTGAATATAGAAATTAAAAGATAATCTTATGTGTAAAAATTAAATGTGTACGGAATTGAATCCTAACGTCAGACTTTCAATCCTTTTTTATCGAGATTTCAATAGAATTCTATTCTAAAAGTTTTACTACAATCGAGTTCAGAACTCAGAACAGTTAAAATTTAGAGGTTTTTCGCTTTTGTGGAAAATCTATTATTTCCCAGCGGTTTATTTGCGAGGGTAACACTCACGTCCGCATTATGACTCCAAGTCATCGTCGGTGGTGGTTCAGGAGCGTATTTTACGACACACGTCAGGTTGATGGTGCTGCCCTTATTGACGAAGAGATCCGGCGCTCCGACTATAATGGTTATCGGCTCTAAAACAAGAAGGGCGGTCAGCTTGAATCTGTAGCTACTTTGACGATCGTGCAGGTAAATCGGTTAAATGATCGTAGCCCGGCGATATAAATCTTGCCATATATTCAATATTTTTATCGCGCGATACACAACATCGAGCCTGTTCTACGTCGTAAGGCGAGCTTTTGGGTCAAGTCGTGTCGATAAGATCCTCTCTTTGCCTGTACGGCCTGTTTAAAGTATCACGAGGGTCATTAACGATATATCTTCAAGAATATATGATCTCACATACACGCTCCACTTGAATATAAATGTGCGACGCACTTGTCCTTTCAGACGCTTACTTATGAGGCACTTCTCGAAGAATGTATTTATAGGCGTTATTATGATATATATTATGATATATATTTGATACAAGTTATACTTTTTTGAAATTTTTGAATTTGAGATTTAGAAATTTATAATAGCATTTGATCTAACAATAAGAAATAAAGTATACATATGTAACATATATTCGATGGAATTTTTATTTTAATATCTGAAGTTAAAGATTGATGAAAGATATTTGTATCATATACTTTTGTATATAAAAAAAATTATAAGTTTTAATTATATTCTTCTTATTATGTAATTTAAACAAGGTTTATATCGCATGCAAAGCAATTACAGAGAAGCTCTGATGCACTTTCTTAAACTAGCGGGAAACTTTCAAAGTTATATTGCATCGAATGAAACGCTTTGAATCAAACTCATGACATGATACTGAGAAATTTATATCGAAATTTATGTCCCTCCTCTCGTCAAAAAATAAATACGTGTCTTGAAAGTACGATTTTGTCTAAGAGTTCTGTCAATAAACTGAAAACTTTACCTTGAAGAAAATTACAAGTTTGCGATTCTCGCAGATAAAATCGTTAGAGTTATATAATATGATATTCATCGACTATATAAGCCTTTCTGTAGATTCAATATTTTTATCTCGAAAGCAAATTAATATTATATAATTGTATAATGTTATAAAAAATTTACTTGCTTACCGACTATTGTTAGATACACGGGGTGGCCGATGGGCGGGGTCGTTGATATTTGGCACTCATAAATCCCGGAGTCCTTGCGCTGAGGATATCGTATCCTCAGGGTCCAATCCTCCGTATGAGGAGAGTGTAGTGCCTCGAAACGTTGATCGCTGGTATAGGTGTAACGACCAACCGTTAACAAATGTATATCTCGGTGCCTCACCCAGGAAACCTAACAGAAGAGTTATCGTTATTTAATGCAATTCTTCGTTTTGTGCGATTGCTTATTAAATATTTAAAAAATGTTAATAATTAATATTTTTAATATTAGACTCTCTTTTATTATATATTATTAAAAATAGTATAATAAAATGATTTTTGTATATTAACAATCAAATTGTGAAATTAATCAAATACTTAATTAAATTGCGAAATTTTTAAGACATTAGCATATAGTGTGTGTTACTATATATTATGTAAATATGAATATTAAATAATTTATTATAACAATATCTTATAAATAACATTTTTCAAATAATTTTTCTTTTGTTAAAAGTACTCATCAAAAGTACTCATCAAAATGTTCATAATGTTTTTATCTATAAGTCTCTAATAAATTGTATTTTTAATTGCTCATTGTTAATTATAATACTAGTTTCATTTAAGATTCATTCAAATGACATTTTAATTTTTTGTAAACATTATTTCTAATATTTTTGTTCGAGTAATTTTTATCTTTAATATTTTCTATCATCGAGAAAGCAGCACGTTGCGCCGCGAGCGAATTTTGGCCGCTGCTCAACCGTGATATTCAAAAAGCTGCCAAAATATTCAATCTTTTTGATGATAGCTTTTCAACATATTATAAACTTTATAAACTCGAGAGAAGTATATTTTTACATTGTTTAAAAACAGATATTTACCTCACATCAAATGATAACATTATTCATATTCTATTAATTTCTTCAATATTTAAGCAATAAAATTATATTGTTTTTGCTTTGTCGCAATTTGCATAATAGAGTATATTTATGTTATTTTTATCTTATGGTATTGTTTGTGGTTTGCATAATACATCTCGTTTGATAAATAAATTAAAAGCTCATGTGTTTGGTTAATATTGTCTTGTAATATTGTCTTCTTGCTGGTGAATTTTTACTGTTACAATCGCACAATACATTATAGATTAAAATAAATAAATTAAATTTGCGCAAAATTTGATTTACTTTATAAAAAATGTATTGCGGATAATGAATTTAATGCACATAAGTTTTATTAGAGTTTTAATGCACTCACAATAAAATGCTCTAATTTCACCATGTTCGCACAGAGAAAACGAGAAGCCAATAGATCATTAATGAAACTTTATTGACTGCATTCTCTTGAGTAGCATTTACATTTGATTGACCCTAATTAACCCTGGAAATTGGCGACAATCGCAGAACGACTGATATTCGTGACCGACATGATTGATTTTATTCGTTATTGATATTTTAATGATTAAAAAAATTAAAAAAAATTAAAACGAGACTTCAACGAGAGATTGAAATATAAATTGGTCCAACAAAGTGTATATAATTTTATCAAATTGAAAATATATATAAATAATTTTGCTGATTGTGTAAGCAATATATTAATTGTTATGCACAAGAGCAAGTTACTTATCACTTATTATACATTAAACATATCATGTTTATCACTCATTAATTTTTAATTTGACAAGATTGTTGAAAATTCTTTTAGGCGTAATGATATTATATTTCTGCGGAAAAGTTAATGAGTTGTTCCAAATTTCAACTTATCGATATCGTGGCTCATAAAATACGTATCGAATAAACGTCAGCAGAATAATTAACTTTTGTCCTTTAATTCTAGATGAAATTAACTCTGTCATCATGCCAGTAAAATCGATCAACCTAACGAGGTGAGAGCCATCGAATTCTCACCTCGTTTCGCATATTTTATCTCTTATGGCTCGTCGAGAATAATGCTTTCACGGAACATATTTTTCGATGGCATCCATTTTAATTATGCTTGCACGAAAATTTTTCAAGTCGCCACTCGAAATAAGAGCACTTCAAAGTCCGTTTGAACATAATCAGGACGGATGGATCTAACAAATTTCGTCAGGTTAAAAAAACAATGTTTCTAATGTATTATTTAAACAAAAATATTTATAATTAAATATATAATTGAAATTCCTTTCATGATTTTTTGTATAACGTCGTTTTACACGACTCAGTATAAACATTTAAACATGTGGATTTTTTTCTTATTTTTATCGGAAAAGGAGAAAGTATATATTTGCGCGATTGCAAAATAAACCGGACAACGCGCTTTTCGGATCATTTTACGGAAGCTTCGATGTATTAACTGATCGCGGGTTGACGTCCTCTCGACGGGAGTGACGTCGCCATGGAGAGATTCGTTTTGTCCTGGTTCATCCTGCATCCGGCACCTGCACCAGCTGGAGCTCTCGAGATGACACGACCGTGTTATTGGCATTAGCGTAGCCGGCTGAAAGCCAAACAAAATCTATCCATCCGGACGAAACGACGGGGTTGCCAGCGTTGAAGAACGGAACGAGGAAAACAGAGGCGTCGCAACTGTCGTGCTGCGCGCACTTAACACACTATGCGAATGTAAAATCGGCTTTTGATAGTCGGCTATTGAAATCGATTCTACAGACTCTGCCGCTGTGGGATTTTCGGTCGCGATCGTTTCATTGTATTTGGATTCGGATGAATTCTTCGTCTTCATGCAGCTTTAAAGCGCGGCTTTTGCAAAATCGAAGGATTACATTCTTTTACGGGAATGACGCAAATAAAATCGATCGCTGTAAATGAAATTGGAAACTATGATTATCTCAAGAAACAAAAAATTTCTAAAAATTATAAAATTGAATTAAATTATAGGACTGTAATATTAAAACAGCACTGTACACGCAAGCGAAATTAGAATGTTAATTAAATTAAAGATATATTTCTTGCGGAATATTTCGTTCATATGGTGATCCATCCTACAGCAATATCGCGTTCAATTCATAACAAGTCTCATATCAATAATAAAGTCATGTAGTTTCCTAAATTTGTTTATGTAAGGTGACATGAAGTTATAAACTACGATAGAAATTTTGTATTGTCTTCTTATCTCAGAGTTGAATTTCAGCATTCACGCTAGTCCTCGCGTACTCGAGATGATACGTATGTGTCATTGGCATTAACTCCTGCAATGTTTGGCGAAATTCAACCTCCACAATAGTATATGATACTATGCGTGGCAATATCTCTTTGCATCCCTTTGCATCCCTGCATACGACTTTAAGATAAGCTACGGGGAGCGAAAATACAATTGCGTGATGCGCCAGAGCTCAACGTTATCTATGAAAATTATATCCTTAGAGAAGCATATATTTTCTCGTACTTTTCACAGTTTTCGATATCAAATACGAATATTTGTTAATTTTTCAATTTTTAATAAATGTATCAACTGTTTCGTTACACATGAATGATTATCATCTATGTAATATATGAGTATACATATAACATACATACATTATATATAATTTAATATTTTAATATATGTTATTAATATTAATAAATATTTAATTATGTAATATTCATAAATTTAATAAACCATAACTACGTTTGACCCAGGATATAAATAATTCATATACAATGTTAATTTGCAATAAACTTTAAAGTCAATAATCACGGAACATTATAAATTTACATAGCCTTTTTATATAATCGATCCTTTATTCATGAGCTTTCGTTGGTCGAAGAGAAGACTGTGATTGATCGACGCGTTCACGATATATAAGGATACGCCGATTCTCGCACCTTCGAGAGAAAGACAACATCAGGTTCTTTGCGAACGCGCGATACGCTTTCTAATAATCTTGAGTGCTTTGAAGCAAGCAATGCGCGTGCATTTACTAGCTACGGTAATAGCTTTTATTTCTGACAATAGTAATTTGAGTTAGCGCAGTTGAAACGAAGTAAAAGCGCGCAACGACGCTCACTTTGAACGATAAAATTACAGAGAGGATTTGTATGACAATTTATGAAAACCCAGGAACTTAACTGTCTGCGGATCGCGCAGAATAATTGTTCAGAAATATCTGTTAATTTTTATCAAGTTACTCATATTACATAGAATAAGCGCGTACTCTTTTAACAGGCACATATATTTGTTCGCTTATGTTGTGTCAGTGTGTACTCTATTAAATAATATAATAATTATAATTATTAGTTTTGCACTTTTTGAAACATCAGCATTTACTTTTCAGAACCGCGCGTGGTATATCGACATCATCAATATCCCTCGTTATGAAAGTGCATTCAGTACATGTTTTGTTTGTTCCGTTTAATTTTGCGATCAGAGCCGCACGTTGACGCAGCGTTTAATTATGTGTGGCTCGAATATCCGTAGGGAGGGAAGCTCTTATATAATGTTCGATTAATATTCATAAATCATTACGGGAATCATCGTGTAACATCGGATGGCACAAGCATCGGAAAGCCATAGTCCCTGTTCACGATTATGCGCTTCGTTTATAAAGATTTTATATTCCTCGTCGAACCCACCGTTAATCAACATTCCATTGTGGATATTTAAGCCGCGTGTTTTCGAAACATTGTGTGCGATCGCGAATTGTATTTGCATAGCGAACAGACTGTGTGATCACTAATTATTATCGGAAGGCCACGAAATGGATATTTGAAAATGCAAAAGATAATTATGGTTCGGCAATGATTGGCTGTATTGTTATTGTTTAAAATCGACAGAGATTAACACATGAGAACTGATTAGAATATCATATTTTTATTAATATCAAGCGAATGTAAAATTAATATTTAAAAATTAATATGTAAAATTAATATCAAGCGAATGTAACATTCAAAGTTAAAATATTAAATAATACTACAGAAAAAATAATCAATAAAGTAAATATTTGTGCACTCTCTCTTTTTCCTTAAACTTAGTTTGCCTTTAGAAAACAAATTTGTATATCACAGACGAAAAAGACACTGCGAAAAGAAAAACAACGAGAAAAGCATTTATTTTAACATAAAATTCTTAAACTCTTGTATTTTTTAAAAATTTATTATTTGCATCATATATCATACCATAGAGATTATTAAGATCTGTGGCGATGTTGATTCACTTTTTGAAGGGAAAATAAGTCGAATTTAAACTAACTTCAACAGATTACGGCATCTATACATCTGCTAACGAAGATGACTAATAACTTCTGCGATGTATTTGCAGCGGCTTCTTAGCCTAGATAAACAGCCGCTAATTATGCATCTTTGCATTCGCATAGGGAGTGGCGCTTGATCTTTCAGGATGATGAGAGTAACGTCATATATCATAACAGATCCGACGTCAACAAAGTAAGCTCGAAAGGACGGATTAAGTGCACATCACAAGTGTAGGATGTAACGGGGTTTATATAAGCTCGAATGACGAATGTTCCGATGTACTCGCACTTTCCTATCGGGAGTGAACACTTTGACCTAAATTCTGCGATGACAAACCAAAAAAGAACTGCAATTGATTGAACGGTGCAATGAAATAAGTGTCATATCTACTGTAATCGTGATATTGGATGATATTCTTAAATAAAAGTGATCAGTGAGACATTCGATTTTTAGAACGAAGAAAATATATATTTCCTAAAAATTAAAATTGTGTAGGTTTTATACAAATTTGTGCAAGAGATGTAGATATAATAAAATCTAAATAATTTTAATTTAAAAAAAATATATATACACATACATATATCGATATACTATGAATACTATCGATATGAAATCGAATTGATAGCATAGCAGCGCTTCTAAAAAATTTCAAATTGTATGTATGTAATCATACTACTTTGTACTTTACATAGTCAAATTGCTACATAGTCATATGAAAGTAATTCTTTACATTTCATTTATTCCGCAGTACGTTTGACCTATCAGAATTAATTGCGATGTCTAAATGTGCGATGGAAAAACAGCAAATAATATAAATAATTGTTAAACTGAAAATACGCGAGTCCCGTATGTAAAGAATGATTTAATAATATAATTGGAGAATATTATACTAGAATTTTCAAAGCGATAATTCGTACATGCGCTATGCAAACGTCAAAAAAAATTGCTTCCATTCGCTATATGAAAAGGGCAGTTAATAATGTAAGAACATAAACGCTAATATCGTTTGCCTTTTTCATGAGACGCCTCGCGCTCGATGAAGGAACAGTAATGTTTATTTAATAACCCCATTTACATTGGATGAACGACACCCCGAACTTCACGTAAGAAGAGTAATTTTACGAATTTTTCATCAGCGAAGCGCGCGTCCCATAGAAATGCATTTTTTGCATTGTACGAACATGATTGTTGCATCATTACAATTAGATTCAATATAACGATGGATATAGGTAAAAGAGAGAGATTGATTATTGTTAGAAATAACTCAATAATCCTTATATTTATACATATAAATGTTCAAGATCGATTTTAGCAACTAGTTGAATACTATTAAATCTGCTGTGTGCTAAAACGAGATCAATGTGCATAATGTATTACGATTCTCATCAAGAAGAGAAGCTTTTAGTTCCAAAATTAAAACAATTTCTTATATATTTAATACATTCAATACTTCTCTTTCGCGTGCGCTGGTGTTACTTTTTTTACTTACTGACTTTCATATTCCAGTCGAAATGACAGTTTAACTTTTCATCGACCATTGATCGATTAAAAAATCGTTTGACGAGTTTCTCGGTGGCGAGAGACGAGCGAGTGAGCGGGCGAATCTGGCGACGTGACGCGCCGTTAAAGTATCCACTACGATCACGAAAGAAGGATCGCAAGGTCGTTTATGCGGCCCTACCCTTAAATTATTCAACAGCAACGTGGGGTAGGTGGCCAGCACGCTGTCCGCTTCAAGCTAAGATATAGCACCTCTGGTCACGAACCAGACGATGGATTTTCCGATGACTTACCGTTCGATTCCCCAAGTTCTTCACTTTGCACACGAGATGCACCGTCTTCCCTACCAGTCCGGTGAAGTTTGATTGCATAGAGGTGTCGAAGTGGGGCCCGGTGCCCGGCGTCGGCCATTCCTCTAGGAAATCGGTTCGAAAGTTTCTTAAGCATGACGCTATACCACCTGGAAACAGAAGAAGAGCCTCCTATGATTGCGTTAATCTGTCGGAAAGAGTCTATTTTATGGCAAATAATTTTTTTAAACTATGGTTCACCAATACGAATAGCTAATTCATGGATGTCAGATCCTCTTTTTAACGCGACCAAGCCAGGTTACGACCCGCAACGGAATAATTGAATGTCCCGTAACTTTTTATAACGCGCTCGTGGATATCCCATAAGGATAGTTTGGAAGCCGGCGCCCATGAGATTCCCCGAGTATCCGCCAACTTTCGGTGGATTTACGGTGCATCACATTCTATGAGGCCACTTGACTTTCGAAGCGTCAGGCGGAAACTCAGGCATCAGACCGTTAACGTTCACCCGGCGCGTCACATTGGGGATCGTATGTAACATCAACGTCACGGATTGTCGCGTCACGTCAGTCGCGCATGTAAAAGTTCGCGTGGCAGTACGTGAACGGACCCATTTAAATACATCACATTATATCTTGACGTGACGGTAACGTTCCTTTTCGTGACGGCAGTGCGACGTTAAAGCCGGATTTCCTCTGAAATCCGCGCGATATCGTGCACACGTATACCGTACGTGTATTTTCTAGTTACTAAGCATATCACGCGTGCTATTTGAAAGATATTTCTCTCTTGCGAATCTTTTATCAATGTTACGCAGAATGTACGGGAGGATTATTTTATTGAAATCCCAGAATAATTTCAATTCCATTGAAATTGGTTTAGACAACGGAATTGCTAATAATAGCTGTATGTAGACTTCCCTTTATGTCTCTATCACGTTATACATTGCAGATTAAATTATCGATATTAATATTTTATGCAAATACGAAATACAAAATTTATTAAACTTGCAACTAAATACACATCTAAAATTTGCAATATAAGAAATGAAAATATTTCATCGAAGTATGATATAGTTTCTTTTAACAATACAAAAATACAGCTTTCTCAACAAAGAGATATTATGTAAATTAGTACGGAAAAAAAACATGTTACATGTTTTTTTCCGTACTAATTTATATAATATCTCTTTGTTGAAAAAGTTGTATTTTTGTATTGAATATTTTTGTTAGAAAAAACAAATGTACGAGAAAAAATGTAAATTGACGATGCGGAAATTTTGTTGAAAATGAAAAAAAATTCGAAAAGAGTTGCAAAAGTAGTCCTAGTTCCAACCAATTTTGTTTTCAGTCACTCTAGATTTCGTTAACTTTAGCAACGGGCGCCTTTGATTAACTACAGTTTTTGACGTAAAGTCGTTTCGCTACGAAAAATAAAAATCGACAAACGTCATTTGCAAAATAACGAATGCGGAAATAACGACTCTCTGCATGCTGTTTTTTTCTATTTTGCTTAAAGATTTTTGCCGATGGCAAATTATCATTAGCAGTATGCGTAGCTCTCTCTGCAATTTAAATATTTGATTAAGGATCGCTTTTCTCGGATTATTCAGTATTATCAAGTTATCGTTAATGTTTCTTTCTTTAACTGAATGCCCATATAACTATTTTTTATTAAATTTTTATTAGCGTTCCTATCCCACGGTTTTAAAACGATGCAATGTTATTTACTGCACGCATGCGTATGCGTCACACGTCTGTGACGCATAATTATGATTATTAGATATAATTGAATTACTTATCTTTCTATCTCTGTAATAAATGCATTTCGTGCGTCTCAGTGAAATGGTCATACTGCTGCTTTTTGTATAAACAAGTATTTGCATATTTATGTTGCACATAATGTTATATGGAAAGCATATTTTTCCAGAGAAAAATATAAAAGAAGATACGAATATGTGAATCTCTGGCATAATTTAAAATATTAAATATTAATGCTATTGCATGGTATTTTAAAGTAACATTGCTTTCCGAACACTAATTGATAATAATTCCTTCATTCTCGTCTCTATAATCCGTATTCTTACATTCGTGATTCTTGATTAAGACACAGAATTATACAGCTGCAATAGCGTAGATACTCGCGATGCACGCACGAACTATCACCAACTCCGAATTGCATTTCCGGATCAGCCGCGAGTGCGGCAAGCACTTTCTCAGTTGCGAATTATATTTCGTCAAGTGCTTCACAAAGCCAGACAGCCGTGCGCCACGAATTTCCGACTATGCGATGTAGAGCGAGTTCGCGATTAGTACGGAATTGCGTGCACTCTTGCTCATTGCCAGAGTTGATTTCAATAGGGATAGAGATACTTATTTTACTTCCTCATTGTCCTTTGTCAGCGACGATATTTTCAGATTCTCGTTGAGTTGTCGTAATTTAATCAAACAAGTTCCGTACGCGTTCTTAAGCATTTAAAATATTTTGCTGTTTTGCACAAAGTAATATTTTTAAAAAGTAAAGGAATATTTAATGAGATAAATAAATATATATAAAAGAATGGAAAAGTATAATAGGATAAAACATAATAATTGCTTTTGCTCGATTTTGATTACAATTAATGCTTATTCTCCTTTTCCCCTCGAGCCATCTTCATTTTCTTTTAAAATTGCATTTGCGTGAGAAAACTGACGCATTTTTCACGTTTTTAACATCACCGCAAGACAATGGTTAAGCCACGGACTTTAACGGGAGAATAGCTGCCGGGCTTGTAAGCGCTACGAAGTTTAAAGACGATGTCGATGTGCGCGTAATATCAAACTTCATCGATGGTGGGATTAAGCATAATCGCCGTCGGCATCCTCCGTTACTCTCCGTGCCTTCAATTTCGTCCAACTTTTCAAAATATCGGCCGTGATGTATCGCGATGTATCGTCGCGGATAATACAAAGTTTGTGAACAAATGGATTTTTTCGGCGTCTGATCGCGGCCACGTGCGCTTATTGCCATAAAACAATCCCCGTCTTTCAAGAACGTGCTTGGTATAAGCACTTTCGTGACGTTAACGTTCTACCTAGGTTCGTTCGCGAGACTGCCACTCATTGAGTCGTGGTTTCTTGCTGATGGAAGGTGGTTCCCTCGAACATATTCGATGCAGGCGAACACACATATTCGTTCTCCGTTCGTGAAATTAATTTTTCTATTTTCTTCCATAGAAACTTTATCGTGTTTCACGCAAGAAAAGTTCTCCTGCGTGCTTTCATTAAAATGTTCGAGCAAAAAATGTACACGAATTGAAGTAACGATATATTTATTTTCGTGTCGATGTATTCAAGGACTGATGATTCACTCAAGGCGTAAATTATGTTAGCTACACAAATATCTGTTTTGCAATTTTATCTGTAGTTTCTGCAATGAGATTATTTATACATGTACATATCTAAATTTATTTTTTTCCTACAAATCATATCTACATATATTTTCGTATTTATTCTTTTGCAAATACTTGTGTAGATATATATATATATATATATATATATATATCAAGATGTCAATAAAATAAATATCTTTATGCACACATCACACTGTTTAGGATAATTGCTAGGAATTAATTTTATGCAGTCGCTATTGCGTTTTGCACTCAAAACAGAATGTTCAAATATGCATATGCATATGTGTTTGCGTGTTGATGGACACATTAAAGGAAAATTATTAATAATTTTGTTTTATATGCAAATTAGATTATACGGATGTAAAAGTTACTGATTAGTCACGACATTTTATATTTTATATTTTACGATAAAATATACAGAGTCATTTCTTATATGTCAAAATACATACGTTTTCATCGTAACGATGATTGTTATAATAGTTAATGCGAGATAGCAGATATTATCGATGATTTAAATGAATTTTCTGACGACGCGTGAAAAGCGATCGGATTAAAATCTCCTTACAAGGAATTACGTTGTTGACGCAATGGGCTTGCTATTGATTCGAACGACCGTTGGTGGATCGAGTTTTATGGTCCTTTTAGCCGAGAGGGAGCTGAAACAAGTTCACCCCTGATTATCGGATCGACCGAGAGACATTCTGTTATATTAGAAATTAATTTTGTTTTGAAAGGTGCGAGCATGAATTTTCCTTTTGTTCCGTACATTACCATGATTTTGAAAAAGTCAATTTATAATTTCTCTCTTTATTAACATTTTAATAACTGTTTTACATCGAAATTTGTCGTCCGTGATTTCACTAGAAAAATATTTCAGTGATATTTTCTTTTATCCGGATTTCGCGCTGTCGATAAATCGCTCAAACTTTTTTAGATAAAGTTTGTTAATCTTCAAACATTTGCATTTTTTTCTTTTCTTTCCATGATCAATCTTTCAGCTCTCACTTCTTATCATTCGCATACAATCAATTTTATCTCTTCGGTGTCACTTCTTGTCTGTCAAATACACTAGGTAAACTCAGAGATCTATCTGATCGATTCTCAAGATAAATATAGAGATAGTTGAGGATAAAGATGCGTTTGCGGGACAAGCTTATCATAGGCAACGGATTACCCATGATCCCTCGCCGGAAATTAATTTCGCGCTCGAATCCACAGGAACGATTTTTGCGGGGATTCAATCATCCGCCCGTCGCTCGCATCATCGTCGTCTTCTCGATATAACATGATAGAATTTTGGACGAAATCGTTTTGATACTACGGAGAGAAGCATATCACTGCAAACTGATCAATTCTGAAATTGGAATTACTTTAGGTTGTCAACTAATAGAAGAGAAGATAGAATGTGAGAGCTCGTGTGTGGCGATAAATCTATTAGTAACTTTCGCTTCTTTTTTCGATCACGGAAATATTAGATCGATGTTGTTCTGAGCTTGTGCGGAAATTGTAGATAGCTGCTCCGACCCGACGAGAATAGGGTCGAGTGTGTGGACAGCTTTACACGAACGTTATAATTATTTCAGACCTTAACGTTCTACGAGAAGGATCCGATGGTCGCCACTATCACGGTTCATTCGTCAAGCCAGAGGTAGATTCTTTCGGACATTGAAGGACAGTGGCTGGTTTGGTTAGCCGGCCACAAAATCCTATTTCCCGTTGACCGTCGTTTTACCCTTCCCTTTCCCCTATTACCGGCTT